TCCATTGCTAAGGTTATTCAGAATATATTATAGATAGATTTTTTTATAGTATTTCTATATTTACAATAAAAGATTGTAGTTTATATCGATATAGTTAAATTGAAGTATTTAGGATTTATTCATAATATTTTGAAATAAAAATGCACCTAATCTTATTCTACGTTTTAAATAAATAACAAATAATATTGTATTAAAGTCAGTACCAACATTACGCTATTAAGAAAGTTATTAAAACATCCCGGAAGGAAACTCAAACTTGTCATAAGTGTTTAAGTGCCTATTAAAGTAGAGAAAAATTTCTCGTATATATAGAAAAATTTCTCATAACTGAACCTCACAATAATTCTGCTATACAGAAAAATAAAACTACAAAACACGTTCCTGTAACTTAATCTTTGTTAAAGGAATTTTCCGTGTCCTAGCCTAGTTAGTGTTTAAGAGATGTTTAAGGTGCCTTTAAGTATTTAAGTCACGTTTCAGTATTCGGCCCATAGATTTATGTAGTATATAGTAACAATTATTTTTTTGACTTCTTAATTCTTGTGACATTCTCAAATGATATTTATATACAATAGATATGACACTAGCACACCGAAACTGGGGCACTCAAATTACACCAATTGGTGTAATTCTATAGACTGCTGTCTTTTTCCATATCTATATCATCTGTCTCCTCCCCTTTTATTGTATATTTTTCTTTGGGCCCGCCGGTCCGACCATGACCAGCGATAGGTCAATAAAAAAAAGATAAGAATAAGAATTTCTTTATTTAACATTGAATCCAAGCATAAAACATGATATATCCATACCCTTGTCAGAAAAAAATAGTAGAGGACTGCAAAAATCATACAACTTATCCTTTTCCTTTATAATAAAAATAAATAAAAATGAATGCTAGTATGTTTGTCATCTATACGTTCCTTAACTATGGATTGCGAAGGTAATTAAAAACGAAAAACTAATTTTATTTTGTAAATTTATTCACCATGTAAAAACTAAACTATTATAAATACTCTTCCTTTCAGTATCATTACAACGCTTGGCAGACCATGCTAGTATTATACGTAGATAAAAGTACATCTGATATGAAAAATAATATCAGCGTGGTTATTCTAATTGCAAATAATTAATAAACAAAAAAAACCTATTTCAACATCATCAATAAACGGTTGCTTAAATATGCGATAAAACATTTTTCCCACATAAAAAAGGGTAATACAATCGGTTGCTTTTAACTCGTTTGAATTTGAATTCATAGTTTGGATGATGATTAGAGATATTTATAGGTATGATGTTTATACGTTATTTTTAGTTATGATCCATTTTTCTACAAGTATTTTCTTGTCAAAGTACTATTTTTGTAAAATATTTTCACGTACACTTCTCGAGCACTTGGGGAGTCGATGGATGCAGGTGGCTCAGAATCGTGTTTCGTGGCAGTCTGTGTCGAGGCCTATGTTCAGCAGTGGACTCAATCAGGCTGAAATGATGATGTTCACGTAGTCTCTTTCTTCTCATTTGGATCAGAAACTTGAATTTAATGTTAACACACTTCTTTGTCTTGAATTAAAATTAAATTGATTAAAAACTATCAGATCATCGTGGCGTCATAATTTTGTCCTATATTCATCTTCTTTTATGACAATAATTGTTTATATATTAAGTCTCGGATCGGATTACGGATATTTTTTTTATCCAAATTAAGTTTTCTCAGGCTTGGGAATTTATAAAACACACATATGACGTGCATAAACCGCAAATAATAATAGGACGAATCACCTGCATTACGAATAACATGAAGATATTTCCTGTTAAAAACTTATGACGCCAAAGTTATACGCACCATCCAGTCTGAGTCGTTTATACAGAGCATGCAGACATCGAAGTCTTGTCGGTTTTTTTGTTTATTATTTTCGAGTGGCAAAAGACTCAAATGATATCAAAATGGCGGTGGAAAACGTGACATTTTTTTCAATAGTTGATATTACGACTGTGCCTGCTATAATTACGATTTTAAAAGATGAAAGCGTTGGTGGTAAACAGTTCAATGTATCCATAAACCCTCTGCCGAGTATTGAAAACTTTAGCAATGAATCCATGGATGGTAATTCAAAAGTGTATGATGGATTGCAAAGTACTATGCCATTGTTCGAAGCGTTTGTTTCAACGGAGATCGTAATGACAGCTCTGGAATTATTAATACCGATAATAGCAGCACTCAAGATACCGCGTTGGACAAAAAACTACAGAAATCAAATGTTAATGCAGCTGAGCCTGGCCCGTTTTGTAAAGAGAATCGTGAACTACATCGAGTTTGTAGAACAAAGACGTACCGCAGCTACACCCACGAATTTGAGTATAGTGTTGTTCGGGTCCCAGACCTACATCGACTTCGTTATTGTGATATTAGTTATATGTTTCATAAAACATATGTATGACAGCTTAATAGTAGTGATAGTGAAAATAAATCAAGGATCTTTTTTTAAAACGTTATCTTGTGCTTGGCTTTTACCGATGCCAATAAGTGCAGCTTGGGCAGGAGTAGTTTCAGCTAAAGTTATGGATAAGTGGTTGGCGTATTTAGTTATTTGTGGCATATTTAGATGGCCTCTTATTTTTATTGGCACTACATTCTATATCACAATATTGTTTCGAGTATTTACAGAAAAGATAAGAAATTTTGCAAGGAGTTTGACATTCACCACATTCTTAATATGTTTAGTCGTAAATTTTTATTTGTTTTCTAAAGACGTTATAGAGCTCTGGTGCTTTAAGTCATTTTTGACTGTTTTAGTTAGTTATGTGTTAGGACTTTTATTGAATCTACTAATACTTTGTTTTTATATAATTTTAATTATACAGAATTATAGAAAAAAGTTTAAGTCACCCACTTCTGTACCTGACTAAAGTATTCAACATAAAGCGGAGTAGATGTTTATTAAGTGTAAAATTATTTTCTTTATAAAATATATATAAATTGATTTTAAAATTATTTACGCCTCTTAAAAGTAAAACGTGTTCACTTCAAAAAAATGAGAGGTATTAATCTCCACAGTTGAGTAGTGCCTCTTTAAAGAGTCTTAAATATCCCTTGTTTTACCTGCTACACACCAATGTCTATACGTAGCTTCGATTTAAACGAAATCTTTTATAAGAGTTTTTTTTTATACGGAACGAATCACTATGAAAGATATTTTGAATAATATTCTTCTCATTTCCCGATACTTTTATGACCCTCTACGTATTGGGGCAGGTGCGCCAAGTTTTTTCCAATCTGTACAACATGGTAATAATATAGTTAGTACCGTTGGTAAGATTTTCATGTGTACAAATGTCATAAACAAATAAATTATATGTTTGTTATAACTTATAAATAATAATTGATATAAATTTGTTACTGCCATGCCATGTCTGACTTTTATATCATGAATATATAATTTTTTATTCTTATATTTGAATTTACTCCGCTAACGTTCTCCTTTGGTATTATGGTAATAACAAAAACACAAAACTAAAAAATTAATTTCTCAAAATATTTGTATAAAACACAACAAATTCTCACCATTGCTTTTTTTAATAGTAACCCTCAAATATCTTTATAGTTCTAATTCCACTTCAAGTAACACGAAAGTCTAAAATTAAGAAAAAAATTTCGATGACAAAAGACATTTGTTAAAAATCGATGACAAAAGACAAACTTTTGTAATTGAAAAAGTTTTTAAAGAATTATGAACTGAAATGAGAGTAAAGTTCTTGTAACAAAATGAAAATACAACTCATTGACCTATTCTAAATTGAGAAAATAGGTTAACTTAATATTAAGGTCAGACATTATTTTTCTCAAGATTTTAGGAAGTTTCCAATTTTGAAGAGCAGCAATACTATTGTTAACTGTTATATCGGTGTACTTCACCAAGTTATTCTATTACACAAAAGTTATTTGTCAATTCGAGCATAAATCCTAACAACACGTGTAATTTTCCATTTTATGATGATGAGTGCAAATACTGAAAACAGAATAGTGATAGCTACGCGGTAATAAGTTTGCTGTTTCTTTCGCGTCAATATAACATTATAAAGATTACTACCTAAAAACTTACTCTGATTAAATATATAGTTTGTGGCTCTGAGATTTGGAGATTTATGTTTAATGGAAATTAAATATATTGCACAAACAAAAAAAATCACTCTTCATTTTATTACATTATTATTTAAATTAATATTATTCAAATTAATTATGTGTACACTATATGATGAATGCTTAGAGTATTACAAACTAGGTATCCGTTATTCCTAGAAATATGTACGTTTAATTCATATTCATATTTGCGCCAATGTTATAAATAAACATATTTGAAAAAAAAAGGGTTTCATTAATAAATTAAAACTTTCAACGATAGGAGCGACGTTATGGATGGCTTTATTCAAGCAAAAAAAAAAGGGTTTCATTAATAAATTAAAACTTACGATAGGAGCAAGGTTATGGACGGCTTTATTCAAGCAAAAAAATCACAACAAGATTGGGGTAAGCAATTAAAACTAATCGAATATTAAAACTAGTATTTTAATTTAGGATCACATATTTCTGTTATATATCGTAATTTAACCTCAGTTGGAAACCACAATTATAACGAACTGTCGAAAAGCGACCTGATAAAACAATTCGTGTACCTCCAATGTCGAATACTATAAAGTTAAATTAAAAACAAAACTAAATCTATTTATTGCATTTTATAAGATACATTTCCGATTAATACTTGATTGCTGCGCAAAAGTGTTCAAAGCGGTTTTGCTATCAAAAGGTTATTTAGTAAGAAGAACCGGTAAAGTGCAGATTCCCATTTAATTAAAAAAAACCACCGGTCCGAACGTAAAAGATCTATTTACACCATTGTATCCATAAACCGCGTTAAGCTATGACAGATGTCTTATTTGTTAATAGATAGAAGATGGACGGAAAATAGACAGGGCCGACTTGTGCCGGTCCGCTGCGAAATCTAAGCGCAGCTGCAGGCGCAGCGCTTCACGCGCTTCTCGCGGTGCAGCAAAGCGTCGACGCTGCGGACTGAGCGCGGTTGCATATCTGCAGAGAAGGGAAGGGAATAAGACTGTTGTAAGCTTTACTTTTTTATGAAGCGCACGATGCTCGGCCCAATCTTAAAAGTTACATCTAAATTGAACAATGTTAAGATTATCTATTTTATAATAAAAAATCATTAAACTATTAGCACGACGGTAATAGTTTAATAATTTTTTTAATACTCGTAAACACTCAAGTTGAGACTTTATTTCGAGTTTAATTCATAAACTGTCAAAAGATTATCCTCCACACGCAGGCGCTTTGCCCACAAATACCTGTTAAATTATATGTCTATAAATTCATAAGTATAAAATTTTTCATAGTGCTAATCTCTGCACTTAAGATGACACAATCTTTATAGAAAAGACGTGGATTCGATTCCCGCTGCGGCGAATTACTTTTCAACCTTTGTCTACAAATTTTAATGTTTCATAAATATAACTTATTGATAGCATTAATAATATCAGTCATTTATCCGTCAGCTTAATTTATTCGTATAAGAAAGGCATTGTTATTTTTCGATATGATTAAAAATGCTGAAACAAATTTCCGAAATGCTTCCAAGTAAATAAAAGTGGATAAAAGGAGCACGTTCTGAAACACTATAAAAGTAGTTTTAGAAATAAAAAAAGATGTGCTCACAGTGTGGCCTCTCATCAATGTCTTGGGGCAGCAGCAAAGTGCGTGGTGCACGAGGGGCCTGAGCGGGTGCATCCTGGGCAATGCTCTGGTGCTGCTCGGCCTCGACTTGGCGCCTCTCGGCCTCGGCCTGGCGCCTCTCGGCCTCGGCCTGGCGTCTTTCGGCCTCAGCCTGCGCCTGCACTTCGGCCTCCGCCTCGGCCTCAGCTGCCGCCGCGGCCAAAGTGTTCACGATCGTCTTCACCTGGAATAAAATTTTGCTATTACCACGACAACTTCAAGATTCCTTTCATCATAAAACAGCGATACAAACAGTACCAGGGATTTTAGCAACGCTCGTTGTCATCGCGATCGATTTATTTTAAAGTTAAATATGTAGGACTTCTTTTGGCGCGTTTGGATAAAATTGTGAGAGTAAAATTATTACGATGGGCGCGCACGACGACAGACAAAAAGCAACATGATGAAGTTGATTGCAAAACGGCCAACTTCACGGTGTTACCATGGCAACCAATAACATTTTTTTGACATTTACCTATATTAATTACCTAAATTTACCTATATTAAATTGGTCCTAAATTATTTAAAAGTAGTAACAGCCTATACATGTCCCACTGCTGGGCAAAGGCCTTCTCTATACAGAGGGTATCAGGGCATAGTTCACCACGCGGCCCCACTGCGGATTGGCGGACTTCACATATCTTCGAAAAATATTTTTTTTGTTATTTTTTCGAAAATATGCAAGTTTCCTCACGATTTTTTCCTTCACCGCGGAGCACGTGATAAGTCAGCACTTAAAGTTAAACACTTCATTGGTGCCGGAACCGGGGATCGAACTCGGGTTGCTCGAGTATATTGAAATAAAGGCGAGCGCCCGAACACTGAGCTAAACGGCTCTAAATTTTTTAACTAAACCGTAATCAATTGCATTTAATGTCTTTTTCACAAACAAAGTACTGGCACAAGGGATACAAAGGACAATGGCGAAATCTTATGTAGGAAAAAATTAAGCGTTTACAAAATTGATATTCAGGTTTCTAAATATAATTATTTTCCACGATTTTTCGGCACAGTAACATCAGTTGTTAAACTATGTATAAAAATATGTGTTTATTAACAACTCAATTGACTTTTTTGAGCTCTATTTTGGTTTCATAGTTTGCGAGTAATGACTTATGACCAGGGTTGGATTTTACTGTAATTATAGTATTTATACTATAATTTAATGCTTCGTACTATACAGCGTGTCGTTACCATCGGGACAATAAATGAACACACGTCTAACGCTACTTGCCAATAATCATAAAAAAATATTAACGTTAAACAAAATCCATAATTAAAAAATTATTATTTTATTATTATTAAAATATTTTTCAAACAAACTATATAAATAAAAAAGAAACAAAATTTGCAACATCCTATACAACTCGCGCCACAGCGTCGCATTACAAGCCTCTCCTTCTAACAGCATGTTTTGTCTCTTTTAAATTCATTCAACCCATTCATATGCTTTGTGACCTTTACAAATGAACTTTACGTTACGCTCTTATAGGTAAGGGTGTTCTAAAATTCTTTGTTTTGGAAAATTTAATAACTCTGTAATTATTGATGTTTAAAGAATTTAAATATTTAATACAACTTTAAAAAGTTATCCCCTATATGTGTGTTCACTTATTGTCACGATGGTAACTACACGCTGTATACTATCCATATTTAGGGAAATATACTATAATTTTGTTACTTTACATAAAAGATCAATATAAATGCCAATCCAATATTAAAAGAGGTTTATTGGGTTGTAATAGCATTGTAATGTTTTCAAGAATACAAAGTGGATATTACAATATGTCATTGTCAATTATTACCGCGAATTATTTATTTATCAATGAAATGTTTACGGGTAATTCCCGTTAAAAATTTTTTTCTATACTTAGCTTGTTGAAGAGTATCTTTGCACTATTGTGTGCATATTGCACTATGAGGTAGGTAATAGAGTTCATAGATGTCTAATAGTATACTAATTTACTAAACTAGGATAAAAATAAATATAATCCAAAGACGCCATTTAATTGTGTTGTGAGGCTATCAAAGATGGTAATAAAGTGGAATTTGTGCTGAATTTATTCCTACTCAGGATATGTTAAAAAAATTAAATTCCACGGTTGAAACTAATGTTGAAGAATTGATAAACTTGGAGGATGAGTAAATTGATTCCTGTAAAAACAAAATAATAAAGTGTTCTATAATTTCTTTTACAAATAATATCCTTTTAATTTTTTTGTACTATCTTTTTCATCATACCTAAATCCAATCCTGCTTTTGACATTGACATGTTAATTTGCACCAATCTGACATTTATTATTCAATATTCTCGGCTTTTTGCCCTGTTTAATAAGAATAAGATAAGTAATAATAAGAATAAGAAATAAGAATAAGATAAATGTGATTTTTCTATTTTTATACAATCCATACTGCATATCGGAGTCAGATTTTGCTTCGCTACGTATTGCCATTTGTGCAAGCCCAAGGACTTCGATTGAATGCTTGCACGGCGACCTTAAGCTGTTACGTTGGATGTGCTATAATATTTCGATTAGTTGTTAGTTTGTTTACTATTGTTAAAATAGCGACACGAATCCTGTGTATCAACTGCAACATATGTGTTAGTAAACTATTTTGTTATCCTGCCCTGGTACACAATACAAAAGCCACAGCCACAGAAAAGCTGTTATAAATGTCAAATGCATTGGTATAAGCCCAATTTGCAAAAGGTTGTCAACGCATCTGCAACCCTCGAGTGTAGCAGATGACAATGGGCGGCGGTATTCACTTAACATCAGGTGAACCGTCTGCTCGCTTGGCAACCTATATACGTACAAATAATAAGTGGATATGGCACTAGGGCACGGAAACTGAGGCATTCAAATTACGCCAATTTGTGTAAATACATTGCAACTTTATAGACTGCTATCTCTTTCCGTATCATACGTTCTATATCATCTGTCACATTCGCTTACATATGTCAAATAATGTAAAGCGTAACAATTTTTAAACGCCGCACAGTATAACCTCAAAATAAAAATATTGAAAAATGTAATATCTTTATTGTTAGACTTTCTCCAGTTAAAATTCTTAATATAAAGTTGCTTAAGAGAGAGTAATGAACATTTTCAGATATTTTTGACCTCTAAACGCTAAAATTTTATCCCAACTAAAGTCATGTATGGGAACCTGCCATTGTCCTTTTAGTTATTTTTCTATTGTTGCGTATACGCATACGTTTTTATTTATTGTAAGATGTGACAATTACCTCTTGCATGTCGTTATCCATCTGTTGGTCACGACGCTGGCTGGCAGCGGCGTCCTGGGCAGTGCGGTGGATTATGTGCAGGTCTTCCGGGGTAAGGTCCCACGGCAGATTCATTTGGACAGGGGTACCATCCATTTGCATTTTCTGGGAATACAAATTAAATGGGCATCTATTTCATACAATCGCAACAATATGTCATTAATTGCTAAATTTATTTCATACTAGTACTTCTTGCTGGATTAGGATGTACAGAAAAGAAGTACAAATAATTTCTTTTCGTTAATTTAGTATTGAAAAGAACGAAAATACATATTTTGTAAACCGGAAGTTGTAATATAGAAATGTATAGAAAAATGTACGCGAAAAATTTCTAATTGTTTTATATTATCTATACAGATAAATCAAATTAGAGTGTCTGTTTGTAATATACATGATAAATATACCAAAATAACATTTTTTTACAATTTGTGTCTGTTGATCTGTCTGTTTCTTCTGGTTAATCTCTGAAACGGCTTGACCGATTTTGACGGGTAGCTGATGTAATAAGGCTACTACTGTATTTTAGAAATTTTATTTGTTATTTTTAATTCCACGCGGACGAAGTCGCGGGCACAGTTAGTGTATAAATATATTAACATATATTTATTCTCAGTTTACCATGGTAAAAAAAATATTTTTATTAAATTATTGACATGTTTACTATTTATGAATTCATGTCAATTACTAAAGCATTATACATACGCATGAGTAATAATTATGAGAAGTATATCCTTCTAGGTATTATGCGTGTGGGTAAAATTTATGAATCAAAGATTCATAAATTCACCATTCACCGAACTAATTTCCTTGCTGATAATGATGATAAAATTTAAACCGTTAATGCTGCTAATATTTTTTGTTCTAAATATATTTTTTGTTCTGAATTTCTAACTTAAAGTTATTTATTAAATATGAAAATATCTATTCGTTTTACGTATTGGAAACATTAACATGTTTTTGTCTTCCAAATAAGCTATCCAAAAAATCAAAATATTGTACAAAAAAGTAAAACATTCATTTTTATCCCTGCTATAAACAGTGATAAGCATAAACTTTTTATCTTTAAAGATATAAATCCGTACATGTAAATAAATAATATAAATATGTAAATAATAATATAAATAATTATGTGACAAATAAAAGCGTCCATGCATTAACTGAATTCTATAAATTGACATAACTTGAGAATTCCAAATGTAAAAAAAAACCGGCCAACAGTGTAACGGTAAGTTGAACATGCGCACAAAAGATTCCGTACCATTATCTATTAAAAAGGCAAAAATCATTTTTAATTCTGTTTTTTAGTATTTTTTAATATAGCGGCAACAGAAATACATCATCCGTGAAAAGTTCAACTGTCCTATCACGGTTCATAAGATACAGCCAAGCAGAGAGACAGACAGACAGGCAGCGAAATCTTAGTAATAGGGTACCGTTTTACAGTTTAATTACGGAACCCTAAAAATGCTTAATTTTTTTTTTTCTTTATGATTATAAAATTTTAATACGTAAGGAGTCGGGCATACCAGCCGTAAAAATAAACGTATAATAGCCAAAAATTAGAATATAAATTGGACAAGACGTGCTAACAAAAGATCCAATATTAAGGAAACATTTTAATTTCCCTTTCAATTTTATCACAGTAGTTGAAAACTTACTTCAGGTTGCTCCAATTCTTGAGTAGGCGCAGACTGAGGTACAAATTGGTGGAGGATGGTGGCTTGCTGTAAAAGACGATATCAAATATGAAGTAGAATAAGATAGACATCAGACATTATATAGACATGTGACAGGAAAAAATTAGCAGTTAACGCTATCCTCGTTACATCAATTATTTGTTCGAAACAGACAAAACAGAACGCACAAGGATTTGAACCTAAATTAAAAGTACAGATTTATCAGTTAAATTAAAAATCAAGATTGAACTGCTGAAACAATCAATAGCATATGTATATTATATCTAAGTTACATCTAATTTTACTATTGTTAATTATATTTTCCGCGTGGATATGTCATCAAATATCAATTATTTTAATTACATTTAAAAGGAAATTTAAAAAAAGCAACACGATAACACTAATAAATGAACTCCTGTACAATTTACACATTTGAATGCCTGAAAAAGTTTACACTTTAACGAATTTTATTAAAATTTTATGAACATAAGAGAAATAATAGGGGAAGAGGATGAAAGAAGAAAATGAAATAAATTTACTCGTGAAAACACATTTGTCACACGAGCTAAATAAATCAAGACTAAAGGGAAAGGTGAGCCTACATGAGTATGTACTTATAGGGTTAAAGTCACACATAAGTCTTAAAATCACCCATCACTGGTTTCGCTACAAACCCAGGAAAACTTATATAACATAAGTATTATAACACTTTTTTATTTCACTTTATAAAAATGGTACGTAGTTGTAAATTATTTATTGTTGTAAGTTAAGCTTGGATCGAAAAATACATTTTGAAGAGTTGTAGAGAGAAACAATCTCTTTAAAATATAAACAAATTATTAAAAGAACTGTATACAGCACGAGGATCGTCGATTAATGCAAACTTTCTTCAAAGATAGAAAGAACTTCTCGATAAGTACACGAGCCACAGCAAATCATGCCCGATAGAGTAATGGCAATTATTTCTTTTTGTTGTTGCTTGTTTTGGTTCCGTGTTTCGCGGATACGTAATAGGATGACAAAATGATTTGAATATGGCAGTTTTTAAATTCGATTACGACGAAAAAGCAGGTACAATTTTTCTTCGTATTTCAAAGCAAATAGATCCATATCCATTTTTGAATTCGTGTTCAAATCTTTCTATTTCTAACAGTTACACGGTTTGAAATGAATCCTCTTTCACTATATCTTTTTATTTGCTTTTTTTTGCCCAAAGACCGCAGTGTTCAATTAAAATTTGTTAGAATGGGTAGGATAAAAATCTAAAATTTACCTGCATTATTATAGTAATAATAATAATCCACCTGGATTTATGAGCAAATTATGCTCTGCTATACTTATGTCTCATATCTGATATATTTATATAAAATCAGTATTTTGTTAGTGGAATTTTTATTTCGATCACGTGCCTCTCGTTATTAACATTTTCCTTTACCATTAATATTTCATTCCATACACGAACATAAATTGGTTATAATTAAACGTCACATCAACAAAACGTAAAAAAATTCACAGAAGACCGGCGTTAAGTGGAAGTATGACGTCTACGTTTCGCCTGGTGAGTGAGGTAGCCGGGGCGAACTTTATTAAAAGGTAGCCACGCATCTGCAACCATACGGATGTTGCAAATGTCAATGGGCGGCGGTTATCACTTAACATCAGGTGAACCGCCAGTACATTTGCTACCGTTTCACATAAAAAAAATTAAAAAAAACGTGAAGAAAACGAAGATTTCATAATAATATACATAGTTACTCAAATATTCTCTACTCTGTGCTCCTGTTGCGAACACTACATATAGCTTCATCGAACTAAAAACTTCAAATATTTGTTTCCACTAATTGCTGAGAATGTTCGCTACTTTAGGGTACGTGTATACCTCGTTTTGTTCACGGCGTTGCGGGGGAGGTGGTGGCGCAAATGGCCCCATAGTTTCTGGCGGCGGCATGTTGTGGGGTGCCGGGATGGCAAACACGCGTTGCACGTGTATGCGCATCTCCCTCGGCATCTGATTCACCTGCTCCTCCGAGTTCTCCCATGGCATCTGCTGATCAAAAGAATATATATGCTTTAAATGAACGTTACAAACTAACAGATATATTATTTACGTAAACACCTGTCGAATCATGAAAAGATCTGTGCGTGATGATCATAGCATCCATAATTATAAGATAAAACAGAGATCGGCTGAGCTTCCAGTAAATTTCGTCTTAAATTCAGGCAGGCTGAGTCTCGGTCTCGTTCTCGGCCTATATAAGCGGATAACTTCGGCCATGGCCGAAAATGTTCGTCATCGCTTTCGGAAAATTAGTGAGTTTTACGAAAAGTTAGGGCTTAACGCTCTATCTTTCTACATACCACTCGCGTCACTCGCGTTTTTGTTTACTACTTATTCCCCGATTGACATAAAGTCAATAAGCGGCGGCCGTTCTGGGGAATACCTTTGATATTTCACTAAAAGGAATTTTCATTATTCCAACCTATGAGCTGCTGATGATTCAATTTAAGAGGAAGGTAATTTAATGAATAATTAAATAAATGCAATTACAGTGATTGAACTGACGCTTGATAATTTTCTCAAAGAGTCAAGATTTCAAAGAAATGCTAATGTTTTTTAATATTGGCAATTCATTTCCTTATAATGCTCTGAAGCCAGCGAGTAATATACTATATTTTTCAGCCCCAACACCGTTTCATTATAAAAAATTTCTATTTAATTTTGATTATTAAGTATACATTTATTTCTCAATATTTCTAAATAAGAGAATTGTTGCTTGAAAAAATATAAAAATAAATTTAAGACTCGCTCTCAGTATCGGTATCGGCCGAAACAAAAAAATAAGTTTCGATCGGACCTTCATAAACATACATAGTATAATTAAATCATAAGTAATGATAATGATTTTATTTTAAATGTTATAAACGGTTTAAGACAATTTAGTTGCTATACAGGAACACAATTTAAAGAACAAGTATGATTTTCGAACGTGGGAGACGTTCTCGTAAAACAAGTCGTCAAGATTACCAACTGTTCTTTTGTTTATTTATCCCTAAAGCTTAACATCCCACACATACATTGGTGGACATTGAAAAATGTCAACTATAAAATTTTTATTGCAAATCCTGATTATCTGTACAACAAGAATAATGAGAAGACTTGGAAGAAAAAAGAAGGAGAACTCACTATATTGCTGTGTTTCATTTTTATAAGTAAATTTGCCGACGAATGTTTATATTAAGTGAATATATTATAATGGCATTTGTTTTATCGGGTAAGCGGATAGAAAAATACAATTAAAAAAAACATACGATATTGCAACAGACAAAGGATCATCCGAAGTAGATACTTATGGTATGAATAATACATTGGATATTGCGTAAAGGCATGTATCGCCAGATCAGATGACCGCCGCTGATCTAGAAGCATCGACCTGTTGTTGTCTTTTTTATTCGTTTTAAAAATGTAATAAACTAAGATGGAAAACGACCATTTTGTTATGCTTACAGTAAGTAGGTACGTACGTAACGCTTGGATGCTAATTGAAATATAAAAAAACAATACTTTTTTAATCGTAAACCAATCCTAAAGGGGTGTGGAAATTCTGCGGTGAACACCGGAAATTCTTCTGGGATTCATTTAATGTGAAATGGAGATATAAACTTTAATCTAGTTTTAAAATTACTGATAGACATCGGAGTATGGAGAATGATTGAAGTAAACATTATTTTTAAGAACGGAAAAATCTCAATATATTTTTATTATTTAATTCATTTACCCTTATTTTATTTATTTTTCAGTTAGACTTATGTTTATTCATCAGCCTAGTAGTACTTTCTCTCTCTCTCTATATACTCCAAACTTTATATCCCACATGTTGATGTGGTCAAGTTTCCTTACTTTTCTTCTCCATTTCGCTCTATCGTCAGCACAGTCAACGGATACTTGACTCTCTATCATATCCCTTAGCACTACATTAGTCCATCTTTTTTTGGGCCTACCTCTGGAACTAGCAGTATTATTACAAGCTTATTATTATGTATTGCATGTTTTTATGCTTAGATATATCGTTTAAAGGAATGTTTTGATCTGTAGGCACGTGATAAATCATTAATAATCATGTGGTCCATTAAATACACAGAATCCATTGAACCCTATTATTAATACTAAAAAAAAGTACTTTTCTTTACAATTAAACGAGAAGAACAACCGAAAAAAATATCTTTTTAACAAACATACCAAATAAACGAGTTTAGTCATCGACCGCGCGTCAAAAACCAAAAATAAAAATCACTCAATAGAAAAGATTTTTCTTTCATTTTATCAACATCCGAATTATTCATCTTTTGTATTGATAAAACATTACCAAACAAATCGAACAGACAAAAGAGGCTTTGAACACCGGATTTAGTGGCCGATTTATTAATATTCGTAGGATGGTGTCGTGATATATGCGGAATGGAATAAAGACGCGGAAGATGGGACTTCGTTGTATTGTCCATTAACCTTGATGCAGTGTCGTTAGTTGAGCATTGTGTGTAGAAGCATTTTACTTGTAAGATGATGACTGAATTATGGTGTGTAGTATGGACGTCTTTATTTCCGGTACCGACCATGTCTGGCGCTGACGTTTTAAGTTCCAATTCCACTGACAATGCCGCTCAAATAATAACATAGCCTATTTTGTTTGAGCAGCACTCACCCTCACTTATTTTCGCTCATATTCGCATTTTAATTTATTTATTTTCTTTTTGTTGGAATATCTAAAACTTTTAGAGAACATTTTTAGAGAGTACGTATTGTATAAAATAAAATTAATATTGTATATAACTATATACATAAACATGTGTTACTTAGTAATAAAATTCACCAGGTACGTTTACGTAGGTAAACCTTCAAATTGATTTAAGTGGCCTTATGATGATTTAACATTATGAAGATCGTTACACTGTGTATAACATTATAAATGTAGTTCCGCTTGAAGTAATTTTAAGCAATCTTACAAATTTTCATTTTTCGCAATGGTATTTCAAGTATAAGAGTTCATTTATTACATAATAACCTTCATATTTCCCATATTTGTTGTATCCGATATCTTTACAAAACGAATACCTACTACTCGGTAAATATATAATGGTATTCAATACAACACTTGGACCGCACTCAGTTCATTAACTCTTGCATTATAAATCTACATTTAAAAAGTAATAAATAATTAATACTCAACGTATGTAAAACTGAGTTATTATACTTTCGCGTTTCGTATGGTGCATGACCCTTCAGGTTTTATTGATGTCCATGGGCGGCGGCATCCTCTTAGAATCAGGTGAACCGCCACCAGACTTGACAACTTCTCACATGAAAAAACCTGTACAGAGTCTATTAGCGCATAGTACACCACGCAAGCCCACCGCGGACCGGATGTAGGCTTCCTCACGATGCATATGTTCTGCTTCACATTTTAATAAAATTTCAATTAATCATTTCATTGGTTCCGGCACGGAGATTTGAACCCGGATTGCTCTAGTACAATCTAGTACATTAAAAGCAGACGACCTGATACTGAGCTATATCTTAATATTGCATCACCGATGTATCTATTGCACATTACAATAGAAACTAATCGGAAAGTCGGACAATGCCCCAAAGTCAATTTATACACACTGGTTTTATCATCTGAGATGGGCGATATACAAGTCGTTCAACCGTAGTACAAAAAATTACAGTAGTTAATTCAAAAAAAATCTTTATTTTAGATTTTACAAACATTTCTATAATGTGAAAAAATATGTCATGATGGATATGGGAATATAAAGAAAAGTTTCCCGTTAACAACGAAATATTTAAAAGTAAAATTTGATGACTCTGTGGCGCAGTTGCCAAGGTATTTGGCTTCGGCGTCGGGAGTCGTGGGTTCGATTCCCACACGGGACAACTATTTGTGCGACCCACAGATAGTTGTTTCGCATCTGGGTGTTTGTCCGCGCGAAATTTATGTTTGTAAAACGTCCTTACAGCGCAGGATAATGTTATCCTAAAGTAAGGTCAATATTTAAATTAAAGAAAAGAATAATAAAAAAATATAATTAGGTACTTCAACCACGTTATACAAATTAAAACCTATGTAAATTACATTTAGTCTAAACATTTTATTATAAACTTTAAAAAAAGTTAAATTATTTTTTCAATAGTTATACGTTGTTCGTTCAGTAGTGGAGAAAGCCTTAATAAGATTTAAAAGTATACTTTAATAACTGGCTAACCTTGTATCAATTCCCAATTTAAAATCTTCCTGTCGCATTACAGGAGATACTATGAAACTGATTCTTTAACGCTTCCACATATCATCATAATATTTCATGAAACTAAATACTGATTTCGTAACGAAAATTCTTATAGCCAATGGTCCTTGATTGTTTCAAGCACGCTCTCGCTATAAACTAAACCTCTGCCATTTCCGTCTGGCACAAGTCGTTTCCGTTTAAATTTTACATACTTGTAAACTAATTATTGCACCACTTCTACAAATAATTTTTTATAAAATGACGTTCTAATATCATATTAATCTGAAATAAAATTTCTGTAGTAATGACCAAAAATATTTCAGCGCTGCGGAAATCGAACTTGTGTCTTCTGCTTTTATTTATCTACAAAATTAACAACTTAGGTGCAGAGACTAGCACTAAAAATAAATATTTCAAAAACCGGTGCAATAAATGCAGTCCGTCTCGTGTAGAAAGCATAGAGAAACTTACGGCGATGATAGTTTGAATATTTACCAATACGCATAACATACATATATTTACACTAGTAACTGGAGAAATATACCGGTTTGTCCGCTTTCATAAATTATTCTAAGTCTTGACTCGAACATTATTTTGGGAATAATTTAGCAAAAGTTGTACTGAGAACTTCTATTTAAACAAAGATAAGAGTCGCCACTTTGAATCAGTATCATGCTTCAGAATCAAAACCTAAAATCATAAGGTTATCTTACTCCCTTTGACTACCACTTTACTTATTAGCTTATGCCTATAAAAGCTCATTATAATGTATCGTAATCTTGGGTTAACATAATACAACAGTCTTGAAATAGGACAAAAACACTGACAAGCATAAAGTAACAGCCTATACATGTCCCACTGCTGGGCAAAGGCCTCCTCTATACAGAGGGTATCAGGGCATAGTCCACCACGCGGCCCCACTGCGGATTGGTGGACTTCACATATTTTCGAAATTCATTTTTTGTTATTATTTCGAAAATATGCAGGTTTCCTCACGGTGTTTTCCTTCACCGCGGAGCACGTGATAATTCAGCACTTAAAGTTAAAACTTCATTGGTGCCGGCACCGGGGATCGAACTCAGGTTGCTCGAGTATATATTGAATTAAAGGCGAGCGCCCGGACACTGAGCTATCACGGCTCTGACAAGCATATAACTTTAAAAATAAAAATACATTTCAATTCCATCTAGATGTATTTATACAAAAAACAACTCGTTGATACTGCTTAGTTTTACAATAGCCTACCTTAATCTCATAATATCTTTTAAGCTTTGTTAACAGTTTTTTTTTTTTAATAAAACACGCTTTTCTGTAAATAATAATCTCAGGCGATATTTGGGTACCCTGTTATTCTAGATATGTTTTCGTCTTAGTTATACTAGGTAAATAATTTATTGAATTACATCCTTGGACGAAACGTGCGGTAAATGCAATTTGCGGTAATTACGCGGACCACACGAATTACATTTAAGTTCTTCGGCATACACGATGTGTCGTTAACGTTGAAGTGCATTAACCCAATTTACATAAAAATTCTCAAAAACGATTATCACAATACCGACCCTTCATTTAATCTTATATTTAACGTATCAAACTTTCCATGTTATCTTTCAAAGTTTATATTAGATTATATAACATAAACTGCATTTGTAAAAATAAATTAAAATATTTGATCATTCAATAAAAAGGAACTGCGTTACTTGATATATTTAACATGCACAGAGCAAAAATGTACGTGAACGAGGCTAAATGTGCCGTATCTGTTAGCGTTGTCTATGCTCTGAGCTGTTGAACAAAGATAAACTAAAAAAACTTCATGTGCTCGTCAAGTTCAATCATTCGATATAAACACTTCACTCGTTTGGGGCGATAGCGGTTCGGACCGCGAAACGTATAAGTTTACAGTAACCTCAGGGCATTGGCTTAATAGCTTTTTGTTCGCCTTGCTCTGCGTGCAACTCAAACCGTATAACATTCGATTGTAATTTATGAATAAATTTACCTAATTACAAACTCATATTATTTCTATAATAGGCATAATAATTTATGTGGAGAGTTCTTACGCAAGAATACAGTGAGCACTTGTGTTTAACCAAAATATTTTAACAGGACATTTATTGATAAATGCGAAGTATACTGTATTGATAAATGCGAATTTATAAATACATGTTCTTTTATTTTTGTTTTATTTTTTAATAACATCGCCCTTACTTTGGGATAAAATTATCCTGTGTTGTAAGGACGTTTTTATAAACATAACTTTCACACGGACAAAAAACCAGATGCGGAACAACTATGTGGGTCACACAAATAGTAGTCCCGTGTGGGAATCGAACCCACGAACCCCGACGTCGAAGCCGATAACTTAGCGACTGCACCACGGACTCATCTCTTTCTTAATTCTTAATTCTCGAAAAGACTCATAATACGTTTAAATTTAAGTAGTAATATTTTTTTATGTGTAGGTTACTTTCATTATATGACGTTGCTACTCATCAATTTCGTAGTTAATAAATGAGTGTAAATAAATAAAGACGTTATAAATTTAAATCCATGGTCTAGTCAAAACTGTTAAACAGTATTTTTGGCATTTAAAAGGCCAAATTACCTCTTATCTAATTTGTGCACTCATTAGTATTTGAACTGAAAACCTCAATTGCTAAACTCGACATCACAGCTACCGTGACACGCCACCTCTATCTCCATTTGCATTATTCAGCAGAAATATTATGCTATACAAAACACAGGATAAACTATAAAAAAGTAAAAATTATTGTCTGGTATAGCTGCCGACTCTTAATTTAATCTAAATATAGCTTTGCAGGTTCCTCGAAATGAAAATTTTTTTTTTCTTTATCTCGTTTTACGCACTCCACAGGACTGATTTAGAGCATCATTACTAATATTAACACTACATGATTAGACCAGACCGTGATAACATGAAACCGCACCCGCGTGATAGTCACCTTGTAAAGTTGAGAGTAACTCAGACTAATGTCGGCCATTAGAAGTGGAACAAGGTTCATGAGCGTTCATGTTCAGTTGGGCGTCGAGAATTCGGTACTAAGCTATCGCTGAATATTACATTCGGATACGGACCCACGAGCTAAGCGTACATTCGTTCGCCTGACCGGGCGCCGCACTGTTAAGTTCAAGAGCGTCTCAAACGAGACGAACACAAAAAAAAACATACAGTCAAATTAGGAACGAATGGTGGCGATCGTTCGCATACTTATATAAAAAGTGTGATGGCGCGCGCGGCTCAAACACTCGACACACGCCGCACCATGCACGCGTACCTCGCGCTCGTCTTCGCGCTCGTGGCGCCAATCACAGCTTCACCCCGCGAGCGTTTCGGCTTCGAGAGGGAAATCGACGGCACCAAATACAACCAAGTGCCGAAGCTCTTCGATTTCGTGTTGAGCGAGGACTATCTCAACTCGCTTAGAAGCAAGGGAAAGCTGGTGACGAAAAACCGACCGGAGGACGCGTTAGCCGCCGACAACGTTATACTTGAGTCGAACGTCGTGAGGATAGTTAGGCCCTCGAAGCTGAAGGGCAGCGATGACGATGTGGGATTGGTGCGAAAACGGCGTGGTTACAATTTGGAAAATGTGATGGTGCCCGCGCGGTACCCATACTTACCTGTTCCGAGGTATAACAGATTCCGCCGCTGGGGCAGCGGCCGCAGGCCTTAAGCCGAGGCGCTATCAAATGTCAAGGCCGCAGCGGCATTGTTCAAGAAGGCTCAGTGCATCTTACATGTGTGCACCGCAGGAAGACTGTTTACGTTATTTATAAGAGGTGGCTGTGATCGGATGCTATTCTACGCCGCTTCTGCGGCTTTGTAGCGATCTAGTGACAGTGTCTCGCGATAGGAGTAATCATTGTAGTTTAGTACTTAGATATTACATTATACGATAAGTTGTATAGTGAAGTCGAAAAACTGGTTTGATTTCATGTTTGCCGTCATACCGTACCGTTCTGTTGTATTGTTTACTTATTGTTTTGTATTGCTTATTACCTTTAAGTCGTATAAATCATATTCAACAAGAAGTTTTAATTATTTTGTCTGTTATACCTACCTCTTCTCTATAATTGTTGATAGTTAAATTGCTTCAATGTAAAATAAATATTTATATTTTCTCAGAAATAATATAACAATTCATTGTTTATGAACCGTGAGAGTAACGCTATATTCAATGAAAATTTTCCTGTCCCTTTTAAAACTTTTAACAGCGAAAAAAAATTAATCGTATACATTGTTTACCGTGCAATAATGTTGCTTTTAATTGAATTCATCGTCGTTCAAATTGTTACGTGTGAACACGAGCGTTTCATTAGTTAAAAAACACTACAGCAAAGACCTTATCGTGTTCAATGTTGAAATAGGAAGAATTTTATATGATTTAGCATTCAAGTTTAAAATGCCGGGACCTGTTGGGATCTGTGACCATCAAAGATACAGTTTGACTCTCTATATTTCTTTACGATGGTAGGGCCACGCAGCAGCCTCGGCTGTTGCACGAATGGGCAGGCCCGTCCGGGTAAGTATCCACAACCTCACAGAAGACCAGCGTAAAGTGGAAGTATGACAAATACTTTTGCGTTTCGTCTGGTGAGTGAGGTAGCCGGAGCCCAATTTTCAAAAGGTTGTCAACGCATGTGTAACCCTCGGGTGTAGCAGATGTCCATGGTATTCATTTACCATCAGTTGAACCGTCTGCTCGTTTGGCAACTTTTCACATAAAAAAAACTGTGGTAGACTAGAGGTAGACACGCGAAAGTTTTCGCTGTTGCGCGAATAAGCAGGCCCGTCCGGGTAGATACCCCGACATCGCAGAAGACCGGCGTGAAGTGGAGGTGTTATATACTTGCGCGTTTCGTCTGCTGAGAACCGAAGAGTGATAGCCGAAGCCCATTTAATTAAAGGTGACAACGCACCTGCAACTACACGGATTAGCAAATGTCAATGGACGACGGTTATCGCTTAACATCAGGTGAACCGCCAACTCGCTTGTCACCTTCTCACATAAAAAAAATGTAACTACGAACGTATATTGGTTATTGCAAATACCCCACTTGATAGAACATTTGAAACAATGAATGCATGAAATAAAATAAGACGAATCCTTAACATTGCGCACATCATAAAATGTCATTGTTATTTTAATGACATTCAAAAGACTTCACATATTAATCAATTTCACTTCAATCAACTTAATTAATAGCATCCCATAAAATAATTCAGTTTCATCTTAAGTGCAGAGACTGGCGCTAAAGATTAAAAATAAAACACTAACGCAGTCCCTCTAAACGATTAGAAAAGAAAAATAATGAGGTTAGTCTCTTAGGTATATAATATAGTCATTATTAATTAGGAATGACATGTACATGTAGTAAATTCGCTAAACCTTCTTGTATTTTGTATTAACTGATGTTTTTGCTTTCAGTACCGAGACTATTAAAGCTTCATGTGACGCAGAACCGGTGGGCTAGCCAGAACCCACGGGTTTGGGGCGCTTAACCTAATTTGATGTAGAAAAAAAAATGTAATAATTTTATCTATTTATTTTATTGGTAATTTTTTTTCTACAGTTGTAAAGAATAAAGAAGGAACAGCAAAGTATTACAAATAAAATATATCTGTTTTCTTTTCGGGCTAATTAGTCAATTGTCAGTTAAAACTTTTAAAACAAAGACGTTTAACCACGAGAAATCTTCAAGAAAACAATTAACGTTTTCTATTTGAATGTTTAAATCATAACCTATTAAAAATAATAAGCCAGTCATGGGAAAACATTACGCCCAATTAAGATTAAAAATAATATTTTTAGTGATACTATTTCGTACTTATTAAATTGTATTAATTACTATTCAAGAAAACACAAAGTACTTGACATTAAAAATTTGTGAAGATTATCTAATAATATATTATGTATAACCCCTATGACCGTTTAGCGTTGAAGGATTTTCATTAGTTTTCAACACAGACAATTTCCAAGTTCACAATGCCATTACTCATTTAATTCAATGGAAAACAAAGAACTAAAGGCATAACGAAAATGATGAGATAAAGTTATGAAATTAACATCGAGCGATAGAGACTACATCATAAATAACAAAAAAACCGTTTTACTATGTAATAAAACACCATTTTGTCTCTCATCTCGCATTTTAAACTTATTGACAGCTGCCAAGATACTGAAGACCAGCATCGAGTACAGTTATTCTACAATTGATGAGCAACAGTCTCACGACCTACTAACATGCCATTATTTCTTGTATTCACTATGTACCGCTACGTGCACCTACACTCACTGAGTAAGCTCTTCTCGAATACATGGACAATTCAGGACAGCAAACGACGTTCCAACGAAATGAGACTGCTTTCATTTCCCAATCTTTAAATCAATAATAATCCAGCGACCGTGCCCACATATTCCAATGTTTACTTACAAAATTATGTTTTCACAACATGTATTAACTTGTTTCTTTTTTCTTTAAAAAAATTCTGAAACATGTTATCATATAATTATGCTAACGTTTTTAAAACTTGGATAGTTAGTGAAAATGATTACGGAATTGATAACAGGCGAAGTTCACAGATGACCTTCTTAATTGATGTAGTTTTCATAAGACACACACAGTCCAATGCCAATACTATATTCTAATTGAATCTTCAAAAATATCGAATTTTGTATTTATAAATTTATATTTTTATTTCTCCACGACGTTGAATCAAATACTGTTAGTGACAAAATGTTTTCGACGTTTAACCCAATAACATTTACTATATTAAAATGTTTAAAAAATAACCATTATAACAAAAAAATATTATTTTATTAAAAAAATATTATAAAATGTTATTGCTTTGTAAAAAATAAAATATCGTATGGCAGGTAATAAATAAAAAAAACACGAATTTACTACATGACATAAACCTTTTCAGCACGCCTTTGTTATGTTATGGTGACAAACTGGATATTGACAATAATATTTAAAATTGACATAACACAATAAAGTTCACGACTCAACGCCATATCCACGGTTCTAAATATTTATTGCGGGCGTATTGACAATTGCAGATGGGGCTCACGGTGGTAACCACGCGGGGGGAAATGAAAACAAGCCAAAATATCAGCTATAGCAAGTTTGCCACAGTACGTTATCTCGTTATTAGAGGTCAAAGGCTTTTATAACAGAGGAGCGTCTGTTATACGATACAATATGAATTAACTACGCCGCCGCCATCGCACAATAGCTATCTTTTAGATGGGACCTATATTAAACTCTCCATTTTGCAGTTAGGTTCGCTAAAATGTGACGCGAATTTTGTCCCCCCTCCGCTACACTGTAAATCAAGTTTCGTAAATATAAAATGTTATTTATTTCTGAGACGCAACGCGTGCCCAAGTTGCCGCCGCAAGCTCCACTCCACCTCCTCGACATAAAACTGTTTTAGGACAATCTCGAACGATACATAACTTATATGTCCTTGGAACGTACTTGTACGAATATCCGATACGACTTTCTCGGAGTACTGTCGTTTTGTTGAAACTCTACTTTAGAACTTTATAAGCTCAAAGAAACTTCCGAAGTTTCCAGACTGCGAGCCGAATCTGAGATTCTTCAACTATCAATGGATGTTAATAAATTGATTACCTCACAGCTTTTTATCATGCTTTTTTGTTCGTGTTTTTACAATGTATCCCAACTTGTTTTGAATTTCTTGTCCTCTTCACACGATTGTTGAATCATTGCCACTAATTATTATTAGTTATATCCAATTAATGGATGAAAATGGATCAACTAAAAAGAATGAGAGAACAACTTCCTGCAATACTTAAATGGCTGACTTTTATATGTATTTTGCAAAAAAAAGTATTTATAACCAGCCTGATGTATTGACCGAAAAAGATACAAGAAAAAAAAACACTTAAAGTTCGGGAACGTTGGCTAAAACCGGATCATTATTGCATAAGCTCATGTGCATTCTGGCTATACAGTGAGCGCAGGGCCGATGACCCATCGAAACTCATTTTTCACGAAGCATAACATTTTGCAAATTAAACATTGATAAGCGTACCATGTGAGAACCACGACTTATCATCGATGAGAACATTTAAATCCAAAGTCTAATCTAGAATGTAATTTTTTTTAATGGTTAGTAAATACATTTGTTAAAAATTTATGATTTTCAATAAATTAATAACCATTTTTATAATAAATTAATACCAACCACTTTAGTCTAACAGACACATATGTCTTCGAAATATTTTTTTTAAATTTATTATTTCTAAAAAATGTAGATTTCATCGCGATGTTTTCCTTCACCGCTGAGCACATGATAAGTTAAGATTTGTACTCAGGTTGCTCGAGCATATTGAAATAGCTGATCCGGCAAGCGTTGTTTTGTAGAATTTCGTAAAATCCATTCTTAGCTGCCCTCTACTCTGCGAAAGGAATATTCCTACCAAATTTCAAGTCTCTACCCCTTATAGTTCCAGAGATATCGTGAGTCAATTATCGGTGGAAATCTCTTATTTATATATATATATATATATATATATATATATACAGTACGGTTGTAACGACACGCTGTGTATATATATATATATATAGATTAAATGCGAGCACTTGGACACTGAGCAATCGTATTCACATCCTTTCAATCATAATTCAATTCATAATA